AGCCAGAAAACTGGGAACAGATAATTCTGGTGACAGACTGTGAAGTAAACAAAAATTAAGCAGATATATTTTGCATTTTTCTTTAAAGCATAGATTCATCTTTTCCAGAATGAAGTTGTCATCTCTGTGAAGGATTAATCATAACAGAAATGGTATAATGTCATTGAAGTAAGGAAAAGTAGCAAAGAGAGGACATACGAGAGGAATGGAGCCCATCAGCATTTAGATAGAGCTTTAAAAATTCTATGAGAAAAAAGTTCTAGTTGGTAATATATGGTTTAACTTCAGAGATTCAAATTTTGGTACTAAGAAAGGAGAGGAAACACGTCCTATAAAATGGAATATTTTTGTTGGAATAGTCAGTAATACATAGCAAGTTGCATAAGCCTCATCAATACTTCCAAAATAAGATCTCTTCTTCTTTACCTAGGCAAGGGAATGCACAAAGGTTAATGATGGCAAAACAAGCACTTAGTTGTTTCAGTAGTGTTTGGCCCAATCTAAGTCACCAATAAAAAAAAAAAAGAACACTTTCCTATACATTTCTTGTCTGGGTGACGTTTTCTCAGAGACCTAATCTGCTACCTTTGCGGACAACACAAGCTTTTACAACTGTTAGCTCTGCAAAACCAATATTACCATGGCTGAGCGAGCTGGAATTTTTATTACTGGCAATGAAGTAAGAATCAGACAGAAAACAGCTTGATTGTCAAACCCAAATGTGAGAGTTTGAAATATTGGCTGTTAGAAAAATCACCTTTTGACTTGTAAACTAAGCAAAGTTTTATCTGAAAGTGATTGAGAGAGAACAAGTGCAGAACCTCCTGCTGTCGTTTTTACAGAATTCTGGAAACAATTCTGCTGCAGGGTAATGACCCCCTGCCCTCTTCCCGTTCTGCCAGCCCGCGTGCGCCACTCGCACGTGCAACCATGGGCGCAAACTAAAGAGTGCTACAAAGCTCCAAGTGTCACTGAGGTATGTCAAAATCATACGGGAACAATCAAAGAGGTAAGAGACATGGAAGAAAAGGTACACAGCTTTCTGGACATCTGAAGCTCTGCTCCAATCTGGGCTCTGCCACTGCCTCACTGTGAGACAGTTTTTCCCATCTTCACAAGACCAAAAAGTGCAAGCACAGAAAAACCCCGTATTGACTTGCTGACCTCCCTACAGGATTCCTGCACACTGGACTCCCCAGTCCTTGGGATTTAGTCTGCTCCTGGCACGAACTGTGCAGGCAGTCCCTATTGCACTGCCAGGGACCTGCTGTCCCACTATGTCCAGAATCCCATGCTCTGCCATGGCCACAGAGCCCTTGGCCAGGCTGTGTTGAACAAAAAGAGCGACTCTGGGCTCCTTTCCCCATCTTGTTAAAGGCTTGATCTCCTCAGCTGTTTGTGAGGGGATCTACATAGCAGGATGCTGGGCAGTGAGTATCAAAGCTACCTCTGACGTAGTTTGTGCAGGGACTGGAACCACTACAGCTGTGTCCCCACAGTGCTCTGCACACATCAGTCCTGACAGTCACGCAGCTCTCCCGCTGATGCTGCCCAGGCTGGCCTGGTCATTCGGAACTAATTCACCTTCCTCTACATGTTATTACTCTACCTCTGCCCTTTAGATACACCGAGAGATTTCTTTACTGGTTCAGATGAGGAAGCATAAAATTGGAAGAAGCAGATCCCACAAACGAGATCCTCTACACCTGGATGTGAGACACAAGTCTCTCCTGCTTCCCTGCAAACAGAAGAATACTGACACTTGTCCCTTATTAATACTTCTTTCTACATCCCAGGAAACAGGTTATTTAATGCCTGTGCAGCATCAGATTGAGTCAAGAACATGAATTACATGACAGTCTTCTATATATCTGACTTAATCTCAGTTTAATAACTTAAAAACCTAAAAAAAAAATAACATTTTTCCCAGAGCATTAGGCCATTCTAAGGTCAGCTCACCATTCCAGAAGGAGCTGCCAGCCACCATACCCATCCTTTGGAGATCAATTTCTCAGAACATATGTCGACATTGCCCGTTCAGATAGGAGGGGAAAAAATGTGACAAGACACTGAAGTCCCAACTTCAACCATATTGCTCAAGACCATATTTTTGGCTACTTACTATCAAGACCTATTTCCAGCAATTCCGGCACCTCACTTAGGGCCCAAGATCTTATCAAAGAAACCCTAAGTACTTCAATTCTTTTCCAACTATTGTTTATTTTCTAACTACTAGAGCTACCGTGGCAAGTACTGAGGCTGCCCTGGGAAGCAGCCATGCCTGGGCTCCTGTCCCCCATGCACTGGCCAGCAGAGCACCAAGGAGAAGGGCAAAGGCAGAGACGAAGGACGGACAGTGGATTGCTCCTGCCAGCATCAGGCAGGAGCACTGGCAATGCTGTGGTTAACTGGTCCCCTGGTTTTCTTTCTGAAGGAATATTAGCCAGTGAATTTTATCCAGTTCTGGTTTAGTATATTCTCAAGAGACACCCAGTTCAGCAATTACCAAAGAAATGCTTTGGTTTAAAATGTCAGAATACATTTTATTCTGACATATAGACCTGTTAATCTCCCTCAGGCTTAATGTAAAAGTTTAAGAAAATAACCTTCTATGAAGAAGTAAATCCATCTGTCTCTTTTCCTTCCAGGGGAGGGCTCCACCTCTGTCCTCCCCATCTGCAACTGGACATCAGCCAAGGCAACCACAGACAGAACACCACCACTTACCAAAGACTGCGGTTGCAAAATCTGACGCAGAATACAACTCAACATAGCAACCTTGGTTTGTCTTGACACTTTCATCTCTTCTTTTACTTTAAGACATCAGGGATTAAAATTCATTCCAAATATATTTAATTATAAAAACATAGCCAGGTAAATATATGGAAATGTGCAATATAGTCTTTTGATATATAAGATTGGTTTTTTCACTTCCGTTGATAAATTCAGCCAGCTAGCTTTAGTGTTAATTTTTTTTTTTTTTACTGTAAGTAATTGGGACACTGGATACCAGTGCTATCATTAATTGTGCCAGCAGATGAACAAGTCATCTATTACTGAACCACATCATTTCTAATGGCACATGCAACCCTTGCGCTCTCCTTATGCATAAATAAGAACGAGTTTATGTCTTTTAAAAAAGCTTATGTCATTATAGAGAGTGAATTAACAGACAACTCGGTTCCTCACATCAGCACTGTTCTTATTTTATTTTTACATTTGTACGATGTAAGCACTAACATGTGCAAGTGCCCTATAAACATACAGGAAAATAGGATGCCTGTCCCAGTGAGTTTACATTCTAAGCTGGGATTTCTTGTTAGCCCTAATTCTTTCCACTTTTTCAGACTGATTACCAAAAACAATTACAAAGACCTGTACAAACTATGCAGGCTACTCCTGCCAACACAAATCAGATGGCACTTAGGCGGTATCATTACTTATTTTTTTCCTAAACCCATTTTCAAAGCAGCATGATCCTCTCCTCTCTGCCCTCCCCAGCAACACGCTCACAAGAACCCAAGTTACCCAAGTGAGCCAAATATACAGCCAGTCATTCCTGAACATTAGCAATGAGACCTGAAATCCTCAAGCTATTGGCATGAAAAACAGTTTTCGGATATATATATAATTTCCACCTTTTTTTTTTTTTTTTTTTCAAATATCACATCCATTAAGTCTTTGATTAACATGTTGCTTCAGCAGAATTGGGTATTATTTGTATCCAGAAAAAAAAAAACAAACAAAAACACCACAGAAAAATAAATAATCACAGCTCCAGTCACAGAAAAAAAGCTCCTACAATTTAGACAAAGCTAAATGAGAATTTTTAAACTAACAACCACGTGTAGCCCTTGCACCGCAGTTGCTTATCTGTCACAAAGCAGACAAGCTACACAATGGCCTTGACTGACCATTATACATCATTCAAAGTTAACATTTTTCTATTTGACCATCTTATCTTCCTGCCTGAGCAATGAAACCCACCAGTCACTAAGTAAAATATCATTCCAGATCCCAAAAGTCTTTGCCAAGGCACAATGTGATCAATCTCAAGGATTTTTAAGAGGAATCTGGTGGTTGTAAACCAATCACTAAAAATGCTGAAAGCCTTTCCCGGGCATTGGTGCTACATTTGCTGTTGCTCTCTAAGTTTCTTTTGGGTAATTTCTAATTCTATGATGCTAGCCTTTGCTTGGAAAGGAGTTGAAAAGTTTAGAAATACCTACTTATTAGCCCTAAAAAGCTGCTAGTTTACTAAAAGCAATTAGAATCAAACAATCGTGTTCTCTATAAAGAGAAGTATTTTCAAAAAGTGAGGAAATGCTGATCCAAAGATGTACTCCCAAGTGTGAAACAACATCATGTGAGTGACATGAAAATAGGCTGGGGACTCCTGATCCCAGGGCACATGAGGACTGAGCGTCCCAGAGAGACTGAGCTTGCTTAGTTTCTGGTTGGAGGGTGTTTACCCCGCAAATGCCAGCGAACGCACAGTCTATGGAACAACACTGTCATGAGCTTCAAAAATTTAATAGCCTAACGTTTATAGAGGGTCATGCATTTTGGAAAGATGCTATAAAAAAGGCAAAGAAAAATTAAAGAACAAAAAATAAAATATGCACGATAATTAGATTTTAGGTTTACTTTCCATGTACTGAACTGGAGCATCATAAAGTGTAAAAGAAATGACTGCTGAGATTCAATAAATAGATTCCCCACAACATGCAAACCTCTCTCCAGCCTACATAGAAGGTACTGTACCAATACATGCCAGCATGTTTTTATGCTAAGCCTAACTTTACAGACTTTTTAATGGTGACATCATACATTTTTACGCTACTTCATTTTATTATGTATTTTCTGTCATTTCTGCACTCAGCTGTTTGTTGTATTAATGATGACCATTACCATTCTAGCCACCAGCACACAGTTGACTTCAAATAGGCTAGAAAGTTTTGCTCGGCACAGAGTTCTCCAAGTCTGCAGAGTTCACTCACTGGTGCTCTACCATGCTGGAGCTCTAACATGGCACCAAGACTACCCTCCAGTTTTTGATAGTGATGTATCAGACAGGAAAACAGTAGCTAAAACCAGCTAAAAACACAATGTGTTCCACAATGTGGAACAATGTTTTCTTCCACAATGTGGAAGAAAACCAGCCTTTCTGTTAAGTCTATGGGCATCAAGCATCAGCTTGGCTCCAGAATGTGGGTACAAAGACAGAGCAAGAGGCTTTGTCTCCGAGTCCAGCACATTGCTCTTGTTTACTTGAATGATACCCCTTAAATGAAATTTCACCTCAGCCTCAACGCAATCAACATGAGAGTCAGGCTTCTCTCAGTCTATTCACACTACTCTCGAGAAACTAAAGAGGTACAGCTGGTAGCCCAAAACCAGACTGCAGAGCCAGGTGCAGCTCCATAAGCAAGGCAGCACTCATGGACCACTTTTCAGTCACCTCTGTAACAGTCACCAACTCTGCAAGTGCAAAAGAGAATAGGAAGTTCTGGAGGTTATTGAGACATGTGTAATAGCAGTAAATTACATTAGAGACACAATGAACATGACCCTTCAAAAAAAATATTGAAATTATGGCAGTTGTTGGGAGTGTATCTGGAGGAAAAGTAGCCATTTGTTCCACTCTCTCCTCATCAAAAAGAAAGCTGTCTATGAAACTAGCTTGAGCTTCAATACTTTGGAATGTCACTTCAAGACCTCTAGTATGGGGGAGGGCGGAGGGAATCAATTTCCATTTCAGATCAAAGTTCAGTTCAGTCACAACTATTCATGCAGATATTCCCTTTTTACAGCAAGTATCTGAACTGACATGGTTACAAAAATAGATGGAAAATGTCTAATGTTTATTATAAAATTGTGTCAGCACCAGCTGAATCATACAAGACTAGGAGTCCATGCTTAATGTAATTTATGAGTTTCTATTCATATTTAAATAACTCAACTTCATATCCAGAAACTATAATTAAGTAATTTACACATCAACTAATTATTTGTGCTTTGTGCTATGAAAAATAAAACTACTTTTTTCCCCACAATGTAACTTCTTTCCGTTAAGCCACACAAGAACATACCTACAATTTTAAATGTCAGTGAGCGAAACATTTCAAGCATAGAACAGCATTGCAATTTTGAAAGCTGACAAAAAATATTTTTCTAGTATGGCAGATCAGAAATAAGTTTACTGCATTTTAGCTGAAGTTAGAGAAAAAATGATTTTTTTTGTATATTTGAGTTTGTGTACACATCTATGAAAATACTCCTCTAATATCAAATTGATTTATAATAATGGCATTTTAAGGGCTATTGACCTTGGTGCGAATGATTAAGAGTTCACTGTGTGTACTAAGTAAAGATTTTCAGGGAGAGATCTGTTTACTAGCTATGCTTCTTTGTAAACAAAAAGACTCTATCATTTGTAGGAAAGTATTGTATGCCAGTGGGTGGGAAGAAGCCAGACCTTCTTCAGAGACCTTCACCCAACAAAAGCACTTCATTTAAAAAAAAGTACTAAGTGAGAGGAGCTGATGCGAGTTCCATCTGCGAGAGGACATAATGCTATTTGTGACCCCAAAAAACGACAGATACATGCATATATGAGCATTAGAAACATGAAAATGGCAGTTGAAGGTAGAATCCAATGGCAAAAGGAAGAAAAGGGGCTGCAGGAAGGAAACTCCGCTATGTACAACTGAACAAGTTAAAGAAAAACTACGGACCACCATGGATGCCAAAGCAACAAGGTCAAGCAGGAAAGGGCAGTAAAATGGTGGTTCTGGGCAGAAGCAGCTGTGGCGTGACAACACTTGTATCACAAGTCGCCGTTCTGCATTACCATCGTCACCAAATCACACCTGGTAATTCAGTATCTTCCGTACAATAATCACTTGTCCCATACTCAAGCATAAATCTAGAATAATTTCATGAGATAATTATTAACATTAAATCCCTTCTCAACAATGCAATTAGTTAACTGAGAGTTCAACTTTTCCTTAATAACCTTAAGTTGCAGAGCGCAGAGCCACACACAGCCTCTTCTGAAGAGCAGTGTCCTACAGTAAAAGGCACACAAACAGCAAGAGGACAAAGGCCATTAACAATCACTTATTTGTCCTAATTCAAGGACTGTTCCTCTCTGTTTGTTCTACTGCCTGGTCTAGTCTACAAAGCCTTGCTGACAAAAAAAAAAAAAAAAAAAAGCCTTTTCTTACCAAAGGTTTGCAAATATCTACATTATAATTTCATACTTCAAACTATTTCCTGTTAAATCTACCTGTTTAAAAAAAAAAAAAATTTAAAAAGTGCCAGTGGCATGGCAGCATTCAGAGTGCTCGGGGAGTTCCCTGGAGCTCTCCCTGCTACAAATTCTTCCTGCAAAGGCATTATAAAAGCAGGCAAGTGGCTCCTAGACATCAGCTGCCAGAAACTATCACAGTCCAAAGGCTCAACAAGGAGGAAAAGGGCTCCATGTGCTGACTCTGTACCAGGTTCTCACTTCACTTCTATTTCACTTCCACAGTCCTTAAATCCTGGCATAGGTATAACGTAAGTGTCCTGGGAAACTTTCTTACTGCAAATGGAGCTAACATTAGCAAAACTGGTTTTGCTGGTGTACTTTATACCAGTTCCTCAAATGAAACAAGCTGTTCTAACAAAATCATCTTCCCCCTCCCCCAATCCACTATCACTACATCCATAACAGAGATTTTTCAAGTATAAAATATTATTAAAAATCCAAATCCCTCACTGACACTTCTAGGCTCAGTAACATTTCTCATACAGTCCTGACTGTATTAAGACTTTGCCTAAATTAGAAATGTGTCCTAAGTATAATCCCACAAATCGAGAAATCCAGGAAAACTTTCTAGTATGGAAGAAGTGATGATATCATTGTATTTGTACGCTGAAATGGCATAAACTATGCTCTCACAAGCACAGCAGTATCAGTATTGCTGCGATTAGAGCAGGGCTTTACCCTAGCCACGTCAGGAAGAGATCACCAATGTAAAGAACAGACCATCACAATATTAACATTCGAGGTGAGAGGAAGATGCCTCATCACCTAAGACCCTAAATGCTTGTTTCTGTAACATATGATGGGATCTTTCAGGGTCATGGGCAGCAGAGGTTTGCAAACTTCTTTGAAACAGTATTTACTCTTTCTGCAAAGCCAAGTAGAAGAAACCCAGCTAGCTAAACTGCAGTCAGCAAGCTCAGTCTCCATGGCCTTCAGCAGGTGTTTTAAGAGCTCTCAGAGGGACTCAATTTTCTATACCATCAGGGGAGAAAGGGGGGAAGGACAAAGCACAAAAATAAACCAGATCAATTAATTTATTAAGAAACAGATAACAATGAACTATTCTCCACTTTTAAGTGAGCCGAGTAACAAAAAACTGCATACGTATGATTGTTTTTTAAAAAGTGAAAAAATTACTGTAGATCTTCAATCAGTATCATACAGGAGCTGCAATCCATGCAACTCAGCCACAGCCACTTGTCCGCACCCCCCCACCACTACCATCTTGGCAGCATATGTAAAACAGCATTGGCTTTGACATGCCAAGTGGCATCTGCAGCCCTACGTAGGGCTATACTACAGACTAAAGTATTTTCAGTATCTGTTAAAGCAGGCCTTAACTGGTTTTAAAAGGAGCAAGACTGCAGTAATAAATCTGATTTCTTGAAGCATGAGTTGGAAGTTGCATCCTCCTGTCAGCAGGTTCACTGTATGATGTATTGTGGTGCTCTGGCTGCAAAGCTGCAGCCTGCAGTTAATAAGCTGTTCAAAATAGCTGTGAAATTGTCAACTTAATTAAACCAAGTTTAGTTAACAGTCATTTTTCAAAATTTGTGTGAAGCAGGCTCTGGAAGCGCCCAGCTATGCACTGTGTGAAAGTGCTGTGTGCTTTTCTGAGCTAAGAAATTAAGAGCTCATGTGATAAGAGACAGTGCTATTCTACAAAGTGTTTAAAGAAAGCCCCCCCCGGCTGTCCCAGCATGTCAGGGAGCTTCATAATTTTCTTCTATTTGTAGAGAGTTAAGAAGCATAAGCACTTGAAAACAGTCAGTGATGGTTTCTTAAGATAGCCTGACCTCGAGAAAGACATGTATGACTTGGAAAGAGGAAGGAGAGCCTCCTGAGGAAACCTTCTTGTGAAGGTCCAAGCTCTCGGCACACAGTCCTGAGTTCTGCAGATGGGTGCATTCACACGACAGCCACAATCTGAGAGGTTTGTCCTATTCAGATGAAGTCAGACAACTTCAGAGAGCATCAGGAAGACCAAGCTGCTCTATACTCCCTAAATGTATTTCCATCCTTGTTGTTCATGGCTTTCAATAAACCACTTCAACATGTACCACTGTCTTTCCTGTACCTCAACAAGGTTAGCCACATGTTAAAGACCCTGCCCAAACTAGGCTAAAAACTAAGACCTTAGGGTATACCAAGTCAGGTTAAATTCTATTTAAATAAAACGCAAGCTAAACCCTGTTCGTAACGTATTCCTCTGGACAGCCTGTTCATGTCTGTTCTAGGACAAAAATATCTGTAGCAACCAAACTGAGTTATAGCAATCAAATAATCTGGGTTTAAGCACTTGTGTTTAAACAAACCATTACCACTGCCCTCAGTTCATTGGTCAGTACAGAGGTCGAGGTTCCCCAAACCTAACTTCAGACTCTTAGGTATACAAAGACCTCTTGTAGCACCCAGCAACAGCAGAGGTGCAGTGCTGTTAGCCATAATCCCTCCACCCTGGCCATTCTGTCATGCTTTTCCCTTTACCTGAAACGTTGTGTTGTTTTACCTTAAAAATCATAAAGCTATTTTAGAACAGGTTGGGGAGACCCCTTCTTTAGGGGAATCTCCTGGAAATTCTACCTGCTGGCTTAGGACCTCTCGATGTTGGGAAAGATGATGAAAAAAATTCCAAGCCCTTCACCCACACCCACCTCTCTGCGTAACAGAGAGGGGAAAAACAGAAAGAAAC